ACCGGGGGGCGAAAGTCGGAGCCCAACAGGAAGCCAAGTCAGTTTACATGCAGATCAGCATAATTGATTTCAAATTGAGCACTGGCAAAAACGATAATTTATGGTATAAGTAACGAGTATAAGACCTCGTTTAACATAAAAGCTATTTACTACTCATTCTATGGCAATTTAAACAATAATTTATAGTAAGCTGTTTATAGCAATTCAATTTGCAACAAATCTAATAAATCTGTTGCCACTAGCTGAAATCCATTTAAAACCGTAAATTAATATATGTAATTGATAATTAAACTGAAACCAGATTTGTTTTCCAAACCAAATTAAATTAAATGTATCAATAAATTTATTAATTCAATTTAAGGCTAGATTGGTAGTTAAATTTTCAAAAGCAGTTGTTATTATTGGACTTAAAAGTAATCATTTAATTACAAATGTACTCCACAGAAAACACTAAAATGTATGCACTCTATTTAAAGACAACTCCCAAATCTGTCTAATATAAAACTAATATTATCAATTCTTTTGTTTCTGTGTGTGAAATTAAGCGTAAGAATGGGTAACAATGAAGGGGGACTGCAGGTGAAGAGTTTAATGCCTGGAAATCGATGGGCAAATTGGATAAGATAGGGCATGTCCTTTGCGAGAGATGTGCCGACGAGGACTCTCATTAGGCACTCGAGCAGCATCGGGAGATTATGTGCAGCGATAATAGACAGAGATAAGGGCGTAGATAGGGGGCGGGTGTGCTTACAAGGAGGCGTGGCAGAGAAGGGGTTGGGGAAGGGGCTGAAAACCCAGACAAGAGGCTGAGGACATTCGGGCGCTGAAACTAGAGCAAGGACAACACGAACAGCACAACCAACAAAAACTTCACACAAAACTAGAGTAAGAGAGAGGCAGATGGATGGAAGGATATTTGGCCAGAAAGAGAGAGAGCAAATTGTTACATTGCCTGTCCTGTGAGAGGAGCATACCTACACACACACACACAGATGTGATGTGTGCCATTGTGACCCCCATTCTCCGTGCTTCCTGTCCAGCTGCATTTCTCATGTCCCGCTGCTCGGAGTCCTTGTGCTGCTGCTGCTGCTGCTAAAACAACAAGGCGAACAGTGGGAATAGCAGCAGGACAACTGACAACAAGGAGCATAAGCTACCTTCTGCTATGTCCTGATTATGACAGCTCAAGGAAAATGCGGCCGGACAGCTGAAAATTGTTGAAATTCTCAGCGGAGTTGGGCTTTCATGTACCTCGCACATTTACACATTCCCCATGTCTGTGTTAATTGCCAGAGTATTAGTTTGAGTAAGTGTTTGTGTGAGTGACATAAAAAATGTTCAGCAAAATTTCATTGCATACACAAGGGGGCTAAGGGAAATCGAACTGCGAAAAGCGGGGAAAAGTGTAGCGAAGCACACAAAAACCAATTCGATTTAATTTTCAGTTGGTAGCCACATCATCTGGTAGGTAGACTATCGAAGCCTCGCATCAGACGCAATTGAAAATAATAAATTAAACAATGTGGGCTCAAACCTTTAGTTACCCTAATGGGAATTACTGTGATTAATGAATGAGATGAAATAGTTACAGGGGATTATAATGAATAGTATCGCCAATTGGCGCGATTGGATATACTAACACTTTATCTGATTTAACAAAAAAATAAAAAATTGTTAAATGGGAAAGGCACTTATATTGTTTGAAGTATTAAAGTTTTATTTGAATGTTTGTAGGATTAAAAACTTTTACTTCCTTTTCAATGTTTATACCGATTATCGTCATCGTTGTGATTTTTCTGCCTAGCTATTTTCTTATAACACAATAATGTTACCCTTTTCATTTCGTTTAGGCTTATTTTTCTTTATTTTCCCATAAACAAAATTCCTCGAAAAGTGGCCGAGTCCCGCGGACAGGGAAAGTGTATTCAGATTGGCAGCACCCTGGGGGATTTCTTCGCGGCGCGTTTTCACTGCGGCCCACATGGCGTATGAGTGACAGCCAGGCAGTGGCGACGTCAAAGTCGTCGACGACTCATATCAAATTACCGTTATGGTTATGCACAGGCGGGAGTAATGGAATGGAATAGGCAGAGGGTTAGGGGAATAGCGGGGGAAGAGGGGCAGGGGACAGGACATCTAATGAGCGTTGGGGGCAAACCGCTTGGCAGTTATCAATTTCAATAGCATAGCAAATGGAGCGAAGCATTCTGAACACCCATTTGCTTTCGGGTTCTTTTTACGCATGTGGGTATAAAAAAAATATATTTATCTTATGGAAAAAAATATCAGAGACCGAATAAAACTATTCCCCTTTTTTTCTCTTTTGAGAAAATATTAAATATAATATTTGCAAATGAATAAAAACATAATGAATAACTTTGTTTTTTCTTCTCTGCAGCTTCAAAGATAATTAAGAGAGAAAACGAGACAGCGAAGAAGGAGAGAAAGAGACCGAAATACCCGTGGAGAAGGAGAGATAACGAGGAGGAGGGCGCGCAGTTTTTGACAGTTGAGGGGCAACCATCGGTGATGTGGGACACATCCCGCCACGGGCAATGCAACAACCCCAACGTTATATACCGTCTGTATCTGATCTATATGGCACGGACGAGATAGAACTGCTGCTGGACGAGATTCGGGAGCTGGAGCTGGAGCCGGTCTGCTGTCAGCTGGACGATGAGCAGGACTTTGAGATAGCTGGCAGCAGGGCCGGCGAGCTCTCCCACTCGCACTCGCACTCGCTGTCCTTGGAATCCCCCCTCGGCACCTGCACCTCCTGGGACTCCCATGCCAACTACAAGCAGAGGGGCGGACACACCCCCTGCCATGGGGCGTCGCCCTCCACTGTGATCCGCAACACTTGAAATCGCCTACAGGGATTGTGCGCATACTATTGGTGGTAAGCTTGCGGCGGGTCTAATTTAAATGTGCTTCAAACATGTCTGTTTCACAAAAATATTTGTAAAATATTAGACCTCAAAAGTGGCATAAACTAACCTCCCAGTGCCTATATCAATTCCAATTTTAGTCCGATTCCAAAGTGGCACACCTCTAAACATTTCTGATCGCAAATTTGTTCACGTTTCCAGTAGAGTAGTTCAAAACTGATCTTCCATCGGCCCTATCTTTGCCAATTTCAAAGTTTGCCGTTTCCAGATTGTTTTCCAAGTTTCCGATGATGTGCAATAGAAAGCCAATTCTAATTTTAAGTTGAATGCCTCTAATTGTTTATCTTCGCATTTTAAACCGAACTGCCTTGAGTTTTTTAATTTTATGAAACGCATGAACATTTTTCAGAATATGATATTTATTCACCGATTCAAACAATATAAAAAGCACTTAACTATTTACCAGTTATCCTCGGCCGCCTGTCTGGCCTGCGAATGTTCCGCGGGCACCGTACAGGTGGGCCTCTTTCTACTGCCACTCATCGGGCGCCTGAGGCTGATGGTCTTCTGTGCGCTCTTTTCGCTACTCATCACATGTCTCATGCTGTTTCTGGATATATCGCATATAGCGCTCATGTTCCCATTCAATTGGACTAAAGTGGTAAGTGGCAAACATATTTACTTGAAAACCCAAATTAATAAATGTTTAATTCTTGAAACAGAATACGTGGATGTACCTGAGTATTGGTTTGATATTTATTTTGAGCTCCACGCTGCTTGTTCACATGGTGCTCTATGCCACAGAATACACATGGGTATCCAAGCATTCCAAGGACACGCTGCTGGCCACTGGCGTAGGTTCAAAATAAAAAAATTGAGATTAAATCTTAAATATAAATATGTTTCCCAATACAGATAATTGGGTATTTGTGCGCCCTGGAGGCATTTCTTTTGTCGGGCATCGCATCCTGGCCATGGACTCAGTACCGTCAGGTGCCCGACGATGCCAGCGAATTGTTTATCGAGGATCGCGAGATGACGCCGATGAGTCCCATTAATTGTAGCACCGATCTGCAGGCGACGCCATATCATCACAATGGCAATGCAGCCTCATCGGATCTATATAACCAACAACAATCGTCCTATAATCAAAAGCCTTATATACCTGGTGAGAGAAGTGTATATATAATTTGAGATATATGATTTAATTGCGGGAACCTTCTGCAGCCAAACGACCCAATGAGCTCAACAATCAGCGTCCAGCATTGGGTCACACACAAACCGCACGGTCGAAACCCAATCAGCGCTATAGAGAGGGCTACCACTATCACACATCCCGCCAGAGTCCCACTTTCGTGCTGGGCGATGATCAGGGTGCCGGTCCATCCACGTCCCGTTCCAATGATAATTCTAGTGCGTGATAGTTTTTAATTCCTCTGCCAGAAGATCAGCGATGAGAACTCTACCAGACGACCGGGAAAAAGGGAATAACTACAGAGATCTCTCATCAAAAAGAAATTGGAGAAAATTAATTGGAAAGCATGTTGAAGCATTTTGGTCAATGTAAGAAGTGAACAGAAAAACCAAATAAAACAAAATTGTTAATTAGTTTAAAAAACCACAAGCGAAACTCGTCGGGATTAGAAGTTGAGACACCAACAGAGAAAATATTTAAGCAGCCGAGCAAAGCAAACAATAATAAATTTAATATATTGTGTGTGTATGTGTACTAAAAGCCGAGAGAGAAATTTAAAGAATTTAAACCACAAGAAATTTGAAACGAAGATCAACCAGATCAACGCCCATTTGATTAGTTATACGAACACCAAACCTTTAAAGTTGGTCAATGTTGAGCTGTAACTATAGAAAAGAAAATTAAATTGGTAATAATACGGTATCAAGGTAAAGCGAAAATTGCAAGCAAAATTGAAGATTAGAAATTACAATGAGCATGGAAATGGAAATCAACTTGTTATAAACGTAGTTTTGCTTATTTTTTAATAAAAACAAATAATTCAAGAAAAACGAAACAAAAGTCATTTACAAAATGGAGAAGTTTTAGCTTTTCTTTACCAGTTGCTAGTTATTTGCGATATGAAAAACAAATTACTCTATCATAGCAACAAATTTATTGTTTATTTAGACCTTTAAAAATGCATCAAATCAGACTTAAATTTACTTCAGTCCCAGATCCTTTTCAATTGTGTGCGAACACACGGCCATCATCTGGTCCTTTACGCTGACAAAGTTGCGAATAGCAGCGGGCTTTGCTTCTGGCCAACCTGCCAGATCGCGATAGATGGGACGGCAGAACTTCATGCGGAAGTTGGAGTTAGCGAATTCGAGAATCTCGTCCAGACGCTCAATTATTTTGGCGCGAATAATCAAGCGATTCAGACGGAATCGAACTTCGGCGTTTTTGGAATTTTTCAAGTTGTATGTAGATTCCAGAAGTTCAATCTTGCGCTCGGTCAGGTCAACAATGTCCTTGCTCTCGATCAGTTTGCCCAGGAAATCAATAAGCTGGTGAATCGAAACATTCTTCTTGATCTCTTCGCTACCAGACAATTCAGCGACGCTCTTGGTGCTCCAAAGACTGGCCAACTCCTTGGTCACATTAGACAGGGACTCGTCGAATCTAAAATAGATTAAGAAAGTGTTAATAAGACAACACGTTCAGTGTTCAAATTTGTAAAATGTACTTCGGTATGATTGGCGGCATTCCCTCGGTGGTCAGCCACAAGTCCCAGTCGACCGCGCTTAGTTTATCCTTCTTGTCGGTATCAATGAAGTAATCATATAAAGCACTCTTGAAATCATTTGTCTCAATCGATTTGTAGGCGTATTTCTTCAGGTACTCCCTAAGGAAAGGCTCAAACACAGTCGGGCCACCAAACAAATCCTCCAAATACCGCAGGAATGTGGAGCCCTTGTAGTAAGGCACTGATGAGAAGGCATCATCGGGTCCACAATTAGAAAGATCCACCACCAGTTTGGTCAGTTCGGGTGTCTTGTTAAGTTGAGTTCGAAGCTGGACAAATAAAATATAATTTATTAGTGGGAGAGTAATGTAATGGTATTTTTATTGTAAATAGTACTCACACACTCCTGCAGATCAGTGAGATTGCTGAGCATTTTGAAGTCCAGCTCCTTAGCGCCCTGCATTCTACCGACTATCTTTGACTCCACAAAAACGGTGAAGCCTTCGTTCAACCAGAAATGTTCGAAGTTCTTGTTGGTCACCAGGTTTCCAGTCCAACTGTGAGCAATCTCGTGAGCCACAACGTCAGCCAGCGACTTGTCCCCGGCCAACAAAGTTGGGGTTACGAAGGTAAGGCAAGGATTTTCCATGCCACCGTAGGGAAACGATGGGGGCATCACCAGCAGATCGTACTGTTTCCAGACATAAGGACCGCACAATTCAGCGGCAGTTTTCAGCATGGTAGCTGTTTCCGAGAACTCCTCGGCACAGGCATCCACAATGGCTTCCTCTGCCCAAACATTGGAGTTCTCACCTAGCGGCCGCGAAACTAGCTTTCCAATGGCAATGGCTACCAGATAGGCTGGAATTGGAACCTCCTGCTTGAACTGGGTTTTTCCCGCCTCCTTCTTATTGATAAGAGCGCTCATCAAAGCCGTTAATTCACTGGGATGCTCAACTGTGGCGTCGTAGGTGAACTTAACAGCCGGGGTATCCTGGCACGGAATAACCGAGCGAGCATGGATCGCCTGGCACTGGGAGAACATGTAGGGGTGCTCCTTGCCCAAAGTTTGGGTGGGATTCAGCCACTGCAATCCACTGGCGCTGCTCGACGTCTCGTAATCGATGCGAACATTGAGGCTACAAGTGAAGTGTTTCAGATTATTTATGAGCTCCATATATAGATTAGATTATCTATCGCTGTGGTCTCACCTGCCCTTAGCCGTTCCAGATGGCAACTCCAGTGTTAGCTTCTGACCAATATCATCGACGGCATCGCTAATAAAGAAGTTAATCGGCAGCTCACTGCCTCCGGCCAGCAACGAGGCGTTGGTTACATTGATATCGCGCACATCCAGGAGCTTAATAAACAAACAAGAAATTTAAACCAAAAATCTCATGAGTTTGAGAAATTTTCACGACTCGGATTTTCCCTAATTACTCACAATCTTTTCAAGATTAGCAGTCAGCACTTTGAAGCGATGAAGCACACTTCCTTGAATCTTGGTGGCCGCAAAATCCACTTTCCAGTTGAGTACACTATGCTCCGTGGTGATCAAATCCGGTTGCGAATAAGAACTCGGATCTACGGTTCCCAAGCGACCCATATTGCGTTTTTGTATCTGGTAAATCGGGAGCAATTTGTGTGAAGAGCACAAGCCGCGAGTAGAGACTGAAAAATAATTAAAAGTACAAGTTTAAATAACTTCTCTTCTTTCAGCGATAAAGCTTATCGTTAAAGACAATAAAAATCAACCGCAGATAAGCCAAAAGCTGTGGTTTTAGTTTACCCGCAGTATTGTATTGTAATATTATTGTTTTAAATAATTTAGCCCAGTGATGACCGCACTTTTTATTTAGTATATATTTCGAGTCGTAGGCGTCGCCGCCAGAGATGGATACAAAATGAAGCAAAAACAAATGAGATGAATAAATTGCAATTCACTGCCACACAGCCGGTAAATACCAGGGTTGTCAGTAGTCATAAAGTTTGGAAAACAATATCACTGTTATTACCTTAAAAAATGTAAACTTGCATAAAAGGATTTTAATATATTTTTTTTTTATTTTCTAATAATTTTGTTGAAATAAATAAATCAATGCTTTTTATTGTATTTTGACATTTAGCCGCCTGGCATCCCTTTCTGGAAATCATTGCCAACCCAAAAAAGTTTCCTTCTCAAATCGAAGACGTCGACTTGTCGATACCATGTAATTATTTGCTTGATAAAATATTTGATAGTATGTGAAATCTTCCAAAAAAAAAAAAAAAATGAAACCACAATATGTTTTGATTCATATATTGTATTAAACTTAATTACAATGATTTTCAAACAACAAATCAACGCAATACGTAATCCTTTGGATAATCCATTATATTGGGGAAGTTCTCTAGCGTTTCCTTGTCGATATGATCCAGTCGCTGGGGAACTGTTCGCGGTGTGCGAATCTGGTTCGTGACATTCTGCAGGATTTCCTCAGGGACTTGATCATCTGCGAATAAATGCAGCCTTTGCATGGTGTGCCTGCGCTGCAGATTTCCACGCATTGAGTTGTAAACGGCCTTCTTCATCACCATCGTGGGATCCTTTTCGTGAAGCTGCCACGCCAGAGTCCATGAAGCTCCACCAGGATATCCAGTGTGGTGAAAATAAACCCTTTTAACCCACTCGTCTCCGGGTAAAGCGATTTCCCGGGTGTTAATAAGCACTACATGATCTCCGCAGTCATCTGGAAAATTACATTTACGGGTTTTAGTTGGATGACTTGGAGACAACTTGCTTAACCTAAAATTACAATAACCGCTGGTCAGAAAAGGTTTAAAGCTAAATTCTAAATCAGTTGCGATCAAAACAATGGATTTTGAAGGGCTTTTCAGGGAACGCCCACTTTTAGAAATTTAAAATCATTTTTCTGATGAAAAATACATTATTGGAGCCCAACTTTATTTTAATCGCAATCTGGATGGTGTAATAATTACCATTTTCAAATATTCTTTTATTTGTTTTCATTTTTTTACTCCGAGCAGCAACAACAACTAAGAAAACACGCCGGTGATGTAATGATACCCGAAATCACTCAAAAAAGCCGAATCTCGCATAATTTTTACATGTAATCTTAACCAAAAACTATGTCGTTTAATTATACTTACTCATAGGGTGATATATGGGCTTCTGAAGACCCATTAAATGGGTTTTAACCAATTGAGCGGACTCGAATGGATTCTGCCAAGTGCAATCGTAAATGTGCCAAGAGCGTGCGAACGTTGCCCATTGCTGAATTCAACAGAAAACCCTTTGTTAAACAGAAGCAGATTAATGTTTATAGTCTCACGAACCTGTACACGCTTAGCAATAGACATTTTGGTAGATTTTTAATTGAAAATTTTACTTCAAAATAAAATAAATAATTTCTCAGCTGGTGACCAGTCTGACCGTTGCTTGATAAAACAAAGTCGATGTTTATTAAATGTTATCGATGTTTTTGGACACCGGTCAATAATCGGTATATTCACTGCATTATTGATATCAACTATTTTTCCAAGGGTGGCAACGCTAAAGCGGGGAAATATTGGCGCCAACTTTAAAATAATTGTGGGAATCATTAATATTATTTGTTCACTGACCTTTGAGTTATTTTCCACAATAAAAAACACTTATTTTTTATTATTTTGTGTGTGTTTTTCTGTTGTTTTATTTTCGTTTGTAATTTCATTTAAACATTTTCTATAGTTACTAAAATTACTTATGCACTGTTTATTATTAATATTAGTTAAATATTATTGAAAATACATTAGTTGTTTTACGAAACAGTTTATAAACATCCTTGGTACATTTCGATTTCTCTCTCTTTACTTTCCGCTGCCGGTTTTGTTGTTTCCCTTTCTTATAATGCATTTCGGAAATGTTTAAAAGCTAACAAATAAGTCTAGATTTAGTTACAGTTTTTCTTTCTCACTTACACTTCTTTTCTTGCATTTATTTATTTATAATAATTTTGTGTTTCTTTTGCCATACAATTTACGAACTTAGACTTAGATGCTTTTGTTGTTGTTAATTCGATTTACAAGTTTGCCAAGTGCGTCTTTATAGTTTATAGCTACCCCTCGGATTTTTTATCCCATATAATACACACGAGTCAGATTCTCTGTTTTTGTTTTTGAATGCTTACAATCGCTTCTTCTTTTTTTTTGCATTTTGAATGAAAATATATTCGTTTATTATTTATATATAAAAGTTATTTACAAATTTTTGTTTAATGAAATTCCCTACTTGATGCGAAGTAACTGTTTTCCCTTTGTTATCATAATTTTCGTTTTCGTGTCAAAAATTATTGTAAAAACTTTTCAAGTGTGTGAGCATTTTTGTTTAGCTTAATTTAATTTTTTCATGTTTTCATTTTGGAACTCAACAGCAAAAGTGTATGTTACATAACAAAATGTGCAACTGAGCCGGAGAGCCAGAGCCAGATTATCCCCAAAAATGCCAACGGCCTACAGACTATTTTTTGGCACCGAATCAAACAGAATTAAATTAAATTTACACAATACAAATGAGTAGAATACAGAAACACGGGCAAAAAAAAAATTGCACAACCCCAAATACAGTCGAACTTCATTAACTGGACAAAATAACTGAACAAATTATTAAACATTTTCTGCAGGAACAAAAAAGAAAATGAAAAAAATATTTCGAATCAAAATCAAACATTTTTAATAAAAACTTTTTGGTTTAAAATATGATATTTGTGATTTCAAAAGGAAAATTTTTTATTATCAAGAAATATTTTCAAGGATATCGAAATTGTGGTTTGTCTGAATTTACTGTAACTTTTATTGAATGTTACATTTTCGAGTTAGTGAAGTTCGACTGTAGCTCCTACTGCCCTAGCTTCCCGTCACGCCCCCACTGCCACCTCTTTTTTTAGAGCACGGCATGCGAGGCGGGGGAAGCGGAGCCGGTAACCTTTTGGAGCATCTGCATGAGCTGCTCGGTGGCCGACTGATTGGCCACGACACCCACGCCCAGGCCAAGGACACCGGCAGCACCGCCCACTGAACCACCACCACCACCACCACAACCACCACCCCCTGCTCCAACACCCGATGGCGGCGAGGAGATCGATGTGCCCGCCGAGGCCGAGGAAGAGGACGACGGGGTCAGCGCCAGTTTGGATTCTGGGAGCAACAAAAGAAGCTGGATTAGATTCGGTTCGATTGTCTACGGACTGCCCTGCATACTGTCATCGCTCTCCAGGTAGGTCACATAGGAGTCGGTGCTGTCCGGATGGTGGTGCGAGGTGATCCCGGAGTCCAGGCTGCTGCCGCCCGGCTGCTGGTTCCCCGGCTGGTTCTGGTGGTTGTGCGGTCCGCCCGGGGGCGGTGGGTGCTGGTGGGGAGGTCCTTGCGCCGGATGCGAGTGCGGATGCGGCGGCAGGATGGGCATCCCGTTCAGGTCGTAGCCGTGCATCTATAAAAGACGGAGATAAACAAATGTACAAATTAATAGATGTCATTTATTTATTTTAATGAGTTTTATTGATCTCTAAGCTATTGCATCGAAGCGTAGTAAATTTAAATTTGATTTCTAAACAAAATGTCTTTAATGTTTTACTTTTGTGTTAACAACTCAACAACTTATTTGATTTCCATTCATCATCGTTTCACAAATTCATTGATATATACATGTTTCTATGCATATTTCCAATTATTTATTCCGCAGTTTTTATAATGAATCTAACCAGTTTTCAATTGTGTAAACCATTGGCATACAAAAAGCTATAAAAATCTAGTTTGTATATTTGTTTTAAGGCAAACTAAACCCGTTGCTGATTATTATTTAAAATATTGAGGTATGGTTTTCTTTCTCCCACCTTAGTTCTTTTTAATTTACAAATATATATGTTATTATGAAAACATACCTGATTGACCAGCTGCTGAAATGCGGGCGTGTGGGTATTGATCGCTCCATTGCTGTCGAGATCGGCGTGCAGGGCGAAGTCGCTTAAGGCTTTCCACGGCGGTTGATATGTCTGCACGTCCAGACCCTGCAGATTCAGAGGGGAGTCGTGTCGCACCGGCGAACTGGCGATCATGGGAATGCCCTGCATGGCGCCATAGCCCAACTTGCGACCCTCCTTTAAAAGCATAATTTATTTAGATTATTTTAACAATTTTAAGTGAAGGTATCTTTACCTTCTCCTGCTGCATTTGCAGCTTCATCTGAATGGTCTTCTTTTTGTCCTTGCAGCGCTTGTTTTGGAACCACACGCGGATGACTCGCGGGGAAAGGCTGGTCATCTCCACCAACTGCTCCTTCATGAGCGCATCAGGTCGCGGATTAGCATTGTAGCAGGTTCTAAAGGAATGGAATAAACAGGTCAATTTAGATATTATAATATTGTAATTATTATATTACATAATACTATTTATTTGAGTAATAACTCACCTGAGCGTATGCAGCTGTTTTTCATTGAGCACGGTCCGAACTCGCGTTGGCTTGCCATCCGATGGCCCCGAAGGCCGCTTTTCCCTAATACTTTTGTGTGAGCCCGATTCGCTGCCAGAGTCTGCATAAAAATAGGTAATAGAGAAATGCGGAGATATTCCATCAATTTGTTCGCTATTTTTTGACAAAAAGAACCTCTTTGAAGTGCCGCCGGGTTGATTGCTCGCTTGCTTTCGGTTTTCTTGCTCCTATTTATTTCTGTTCGACTTGAATTGCACCCAAAAATATCGCCAAATGCGGAGAATTTGGCATTGAGAGATCAAAGGCGCACGCTTCTCCCTATTTTCATCGATATCTGGTAATTAAGTCGTGTTTCACAACCCCCGAAACAAGGCGTTATCTATCTGTTGATCGCACAGATCGATCGCTGATTTCTATCTGGGCGGTGTGGTTCTTTTGAAGGAATTTGCCCCATTCTATTTCTACTGAGGGTTACAAATTGCCCAAAACAAACCTCTTACCAAAATTAGGCCAATAGACATATTTAGTTATTGTGGTAAAACTAAATAATTGAAGGAATTTATTTGGCAAAGGTATTTCGCATCTTTCCGCTTTGGAGGCTGGTAAATATTTTGCAAATCTCGCAGGGAAATTAACATATTTTTCCCAGTGCTGAACTTCAAAGCGTTGCGACCGCTGCGGTTTGGCAAACACTCGAGCAGACTGCATGCCGTTTTCGAGTTGAACACAAACAAACAATACGGCAAGTGGAACTATGAATGGTGCGCTAGCCAGGCTAACTGGCTGGCTGGCTGACTGGCTGATTGATCATACGACCCGTCGGCATCCGTCGATCGAAGTCAGTCAAACAAAAATCCAATTCCCAAGAAGTTGCTTGTCAATGTTTGCCCGCTTGAACGCTCCGATGCAATGTGGAGTTTTTGTTTGCCCAGGCAGCTAGTTTTTTCTTTTACTATTTTCTTATTTCAAACCCTTTGCAAAATGAGTGTGGAGAGAAGGGTGGAAGGGAGGGGAGGGAGCGAGGGGGTGGTGGAATACCGCCACACACGTTTGGCATCCATCGTTTGACATCGCCGCCCCATGTTGATAAGGTGCATTTCCGCCAGTTCTCCGCTTTTCTCCGCTCTGGTTAAACAATGAGATTATGTTGACGATATGGTTTGACAATTGTCGTACATTGTTTGACGTTTGCCGATTTCTATTGACTCGACTCGACTATCACTTACAAGGATGTAACACTGTTTTTCTAAGAACAAAACACGAGCCCAGCGCTTTTGTGCGATGCCGAACTGTGTGCTCTTATTTGTGGCCCCCAGTCGCAGCTCCATTCCCGTTTCCGATCACAGAACCAGACCAATTTGGGCTAATTAGGATTGGCAATCTTTTCGGTGGAAAGCGAGTGAAGAGGGAGGGGGGGAACTGCGGGCACAGAATGGGTTGACTTTTCCCCAGGGGAATTTAAATGGTCAACAGTGGGAATGGTTGGCGACTTTGTGGGTCCCATAAAATATGGGACAGTATTGCAGATGCTTGCAAATAAGAAGTCTTAAAGTTGCAGTGAAGAAAATATTAGATTTAATCTCATTTAAGAACTTAAATAAGATGTACAGATTTATATTTAAGCCGAGGTAAAAAGTTCCATTAAATGGAAACATGTTATGATTTCTAGCCTCACTTGCACTAAACATATTGAATTACTTTTTGTCACAACAAAACTGATGAATGACTCATAGATGTTGGCATCAAAGATAGCTATTTATACAAAAGCAACTCAAGAAATCTAACGAGAAAATATTTAGTTACACTGTCAACTGGAAGGGCAAACAAAAGAAGTACTTTCTGGCGAATGGAACATCCCCAACTTGAAGGGTCACAGATGAAGGGTTGTTCTGATAGTGAGTAAACAAATCCGAGACCCAGCGATATCGTGCCCCAAAGAGCAACCCCAACGCGAAGCACCTCTTGAGGGGCCAAATGGCTGTTTTAAGGGCCAGAAGCGACACTCACCTGACATTGAACCCAATTCGCTGGAATGGTTGTTATTGCTAAGGTTGGTGTTGTTGTTGTTACTACTGCTAATATTGTTGTTGCTCTCCACCGACGAAGAAGTGAGGCTGCTCTGCGACGATTTCTCCAGCACATCGTGATCCTCCTTGCAATACAAAGCTCCGGCATCGCGTAACGCGAATTCATCACCTAAAATTCCAGGTAAACATTTTCGTTTATATTTGATGAGTAAATAAGAATTGGGTGGAGAAGGGAGGAAGGAAGGGGGGATGAGGGGGATTGCTATTAAATAAATAATCAACTCACCTGGCAGCAATTGTCGCGCACACGCGGAGCAGCGAAAACACTCGATGTGAAAGATTTTCGTTTTGGCCCGCATCACAAAATCATTTTTGCTGAAGGAGTTGCCGCATTTATCACATTTTGTACCAAATAACCTGGATAAAATATTATTGATAGATAAATATTCATTATTTTTATGAAATAAATTAAATTAAATATTAAAACATGCATTTAAATTTTACCCAATAAACCAAACTAACATTTGAAGTTCCTGTACCTATTTAACCTCTGTAAATTATTATTTAATTTATATTGAACAAAATGATATGTCCAAAATCGAATAAAAATCCCATGGTTAGTGCTTGTAAAAAGCCTTGAATAGGTTCACCAACGGGAAAACTTCACAAAAGGCTGTTCGCGTAGCTTGTTTATGGCTATAAAATAAAATTCTTTTGTCAGTGCCGACATCGATGACTGTGGCGAGTGTGTTCATCAATCATCTGAGCGTGCAGTGTGTGTATGAGTGTGTGTGCTTGTGGAAAAGTGTTAATTTATAGCTTTGCACGTGTTAATCAATTATTCAAAGATTTGCATGGCAAATAGTTGCGACTTTGGTCGCCGGTCGCCGGCTTTACGATGGCAAAACAAAAAAGACCCAAACACAGATTTTATTGCACGTCATACATTTAGCGATGATGAAACCCAAAAGTCTCCGGCTACTGGACCAGCTGTTGATTAGAACATAGTGTATTTGCCTTCTCTGTGTTGGCATCAGCGGGCTAATTGGCTGGGCTAACAAGCCTGGCTAACAACGAAACCTAAACGTTTGCCGGACGCTACAATTGGAAATGAAAAGGCCAAGCGCATGACATGGAGTGTTTGCCTAGGGTTGAGCAAATAGCTTTCAAATCTGTGGGGTTGAGTGGAAATTAGATAATGTCTCGGCTGAAAACTGTTGGGGTTTCCTCAGCTAAACATATTCTGGTTTCAATGAGTTTGCTTTTTCCGCTACGTGAAAGTATACAGATTGAGACGTGGGGGTTTCGAAGTTAAGCAGTTACTAAATCAGTTTGTTTAGGTTCTCTCTTACGCTTTTAATTTATTTAAATATTTTTTGTGTTATTTTTTTTAGGCTCACCTAACATAATCACGCTTGCAGTAGGTTTTGCCATCGCGCACAAAACACGTACAGCTTTCGTCCAGGAACTGCCTGCACTCCTGGCACTTCAGACACGCCGCATGCCACTCGAGATCGGGGGCAACGCGCAAGATGTACTGATCGTGGATCTGGCCGCCACAGCCAACGCAGTGAGATAGGCGTTGTTTTTCTGCAAAAAATAATAAGGAAGATTATTAAATATATTTCAGGTACTATACCCTTCAAATTCAACTTAAAGGTAAAGAAAAAGATTCATGAAACCCACTCAACAACTTATACAAAATGATTTAGATATTCTTATTTAAGCGCATAAAGTTTTTGAGCTTAAATCGAATCATTGCAAATAAAAACTTATATTATTTAAATCCATCCTGAACCACATTCCAGCTCTAGGAATCATCCTATTTAATTAATTTCCCTTCTTTATTCATTATCCAGCATCCCACTAAAACCTTGATCTAAATATAAAACAATTTTGTATTCGCCGACGGCAACCAACGAACTTATTTCTTTAGTAACTTTTCCACCTTATTTTAATTTGCTTGACTCTGCAGTTACTATTTTTTTTTTGGCACAAACTTAAATTAATTTTGCCAATTATGCCTTTGGAAACGTAAACAAATAGCAAGTGAGACAGCAAAGACGGCGCTAATTAACAAACTGTTATCAAATAATCCGAGTTTTCCCTGTTTACCCAAGTGCCGCAAACTCGAAAGTCCGGAGCTGCGATGGCGAAACTTTTACTGCCAAAAAGTTTTTCCCTTTTTCGGATGGGTCTTTGGCGTTTTTCTGGGGGAAAACATTTGAAAAATTCATAAATCCTGGCCAAGCCAAGTGAAACGAGGCAACCATTTTCAAGTATTTAAGTTCAACATTTTCCCTCCGCTTCGTATCGTGCTTTATTTCTCATCTCCTTTTTTTTTTTTTTGGTGAAAACTTTAGCTGCCAAAGGAATGGGATGGAAAAAATCAATGCAATCATTGCCACATTATATACATGGCTCAACCTCCCCTTCCCCCCGCCCCCTATTTTCCGGCTATGTGCTGCTGTAATCCTTGGCAGAGGAAAAAAAAAACGAAAAAAAAAAAAAAGGAAAACTTTTTCCCGGCTGCTGTTGAAAAATTAAGAAAAACTTTGACGCGCGTTTAGCACGTTTTAAATGTTTCGTTGCCCCACACACACACACACACTTACACACAATCACACACATTGGGGAAACAGAAAAAAAATCGCAAGCACACACACTTGTGCACAGATAAAATCTGTATCTGTTGCCTTGCTTGTATCTTTGTATCTTTAAACGTGGCCGCGTATCTGTGTATTTCTTTTTTTTCGGGGAGTGGTTAGGGGCATAAGGTGGGGCGGCGGGGGGCGGCAAGGGGCCGAGGGGGGCGGGGCTGGGGGCCCAGGGTGTGTATATGTATCTTGCGTATCTTTCGCACTCGCTGTAGCTACACATGAATTATTTATAAAGGCGGAGCAGACAAGTTGCTGCTGCCGTTGTTGTTCTTATTGTTGCTGCTCGCTCTCTATATTCTTTTCCTTATTTTTTTCGCCAATTTTTGTAGGTTTATATTTTTCTTATACCCTTTGGTTGGACAATAAGATTTTAATGCCGAGGTTGGAAAAATAATTTTTATAATTGGTTGATATAAATGAATCTTTGATGAAACAAAAAGCTCAAAATGCGAAAATTATTATATTAAATTATTATTGAAGAACTTCCATCAAGTTTTATATTTATCAATATTTATTCATTCATTGAATTTATTGGTTTAAACTGTTCGGATTCCATTTTTAAAGACCAAGTTAGACATCTTCATTTTAATATTTTTGATAAAAGTAATCCCTTTTCTTGAAAAAATACAAGCAACCTATTTTAAAATATTTTTTCCAATTGTCTTAAACAGTTTGTTTTGTATAAAATTATAAAATTATTATAAAATTAACTTAAAATTAATGGTTTACTCCTTTTCAGGAAATCAGATACAAAGTAAGGGTATTTTTAAGCAGCTTCAAATCTCAGAAAATAAAGGCCACTGTACTTGGCGTGTATTTGTTGCTCTTCAAGCTCCAAGTACTTGGGACTCGGATTCGGATTCGGATTCAGACAGGCGGACAAACTGACAGCTGGACGGAATGAAAGACTGACAAACGGACGGACAGCCGGCATTTACTTCCATGTTTCAGCCTCCAATTGCTGCGAGTCTCTTTCTTTTCTTTTTCCTTAACTTGGGGGCATGTGCGCCTTTTCTTTGTATTTTATTTTTTTTCGCCTTCAAAATGCTGCTATATAATGCTACCCTATATGGACATGTGTGTGCTCGTGTTTTTGGGGAGCCACCATTTTTGCCAGCTTTTTTTTTTGGAGTATCTTTTGTTGTGCGTTCCTTGGACGAGTATTTGTGTTCCTTCTTCTTTTTTCGTTTGTATGAATTTCTGACATTTCGCATTTATTTGTGTGTGTCGCTGTGTGTGATTTTGGGATCTATGTATTGCTTGCTCCTGTGTGTTTTTTTTCAAGGGGGGGACAGGGATTGGGGCTCTTCGGCTGCCTTAATGATCCTGCGCAGTTCGTTTTCATTTTTCTTTTGGCACCCACACAGACCCACCCACACAGAAACACACACACATACACACACAGAGAGACGCACGCACACAGCCGCAGCCATTATGGCTGTAATGGGAATTTAAGCGCAACTCCTGCGCCTGTGTGTTGCTTTTCCGTTTGGGGAGTTTTTCCGCTTTTGTGGCGTATCTTTTGCATGTTATGTTGCCATTTTGTTGGCACCCCACCACCCACTCAACGACCCATCCCTCCCCTTTTTTCCTGGGGGTTGACGCGTCGCGGTTCTTTTATTTTTCCCCCTCGTTTATTTTTTTTTTTTTTTTGATTTTTCGGTGCGGCACACATTGGACCAAAATGCAATTTTGTCTCGTGTTGTCGTCTATGAATTTTTCGACTGTGTCGGCGGTTTCTCTTCGTGAGTGAAATGTGGGGAGTGGGCAGAAGGGGGAGGGGGTTCAGTTGGGGCACCGGGGGGTTAATACGTGGTAAAGGGGGCTGTGGCACATGCGGCAACTGCGGCTTTTTCACTTTTAACGAGGAAAACGCTTCGCAAGCTGCGTGTTTCCCATTTTTGCCTGTCACTTCGCCTCTGTTTTCTTCCTCATTCATTCAGTTTTTGCTTATTTTCCCCCGAACTCTATATCTTTTCCATTTAAATAACGAAACATTTTCCCTGACTCTGTGGCAGCACTTGATCTTGGTGGGCATGTTCACGTTTTTATGCTGAAAGCTGTTCAAGTTTTTAATGGCCGCACCTTTTTGGCCATTGCTCTTGACCTCCGCAACCTTAATGTGAGTTGCACATGATGTAATTGTTTGGCGATCGGAAAAACCGTGTTTTTCACTTTTGTGGGGGTGCTGTGGGAAGCCAAGCAGCTGGGATAAAAATGGGTTCCTTGGATTATGTCTGTCTTAAGGTTTGATCAAATAAAAGGGCATTTTAAATGGGGGTAAAATGATTTCTTTAAAGTTTTTAAGAATTTATAATGAAGGTGTATTTTAAAGAGAAGATAAGAACTTGTTATATAATATAACTTATTGTTATTTATAATTATTATTTTTTTGAGCCTGTCATTGTGTTTACTTGTTTTTTGTTTATGTATTTTTTTTTTATTTATTTCTATATTTTTTTTAAATTAAATCCTTCTTTATATTCAACATTTAATGCCCACTTACTTAGTTGTTTTTATTTGCTTGTATTTTAATTACATATTATTCTAATTGCCCCACCAACCCAAGAGTCTCAGTTTTGTTTACTTTCTTGCTAATAGCATCGTGACCAATTAAAAGTATCTCGAAGGCTCTTTTATCTAAAGTACACGAGTAAAGTTTCGTGTCGCTGATGGATTGACAGAAGTGGCTGGGCTTTGATTTGGACTTGATCTATTGATCTCCGGGAAATTGATGGCTGAGCAATAAACATATCAAGGAATTCGTGCCAAGAAACGCCCACCGAGAAGCGGACCGCAGATAGTCGATGTCCCGCCGTCCGTTGTCCGCCTCTCGTTCTCCGTCTCGCTCGCACCTTGTTAGCCGTCTCTCTTCCACTGGCCCTTATCAATGTCGGCAATCTTTCAAAGGCCACAAAAAAGAAGTAGAAGAAGAAGAAGAAGGGGGCTGCAAACGAGGGAACAAGTAAAATTGCAGTCAAATCAACTCGGGCTACTTCACAGATACAGATACAACGGCACGCACACTCGCAGATACAGATACATTGCAATGGCTGCCCAGCATCTTCGTTTTACTTCTTTTATTTTTTTTTTTTTTTGTTTTTATGGTTTTTTTTCTCCTTACTGTTGCTGTTGCTCGACAAGGGGCAACATGCAAAATGCAAAGCATCGATAAGATACGTTTTGGCCAGGCTCGCCACTCTTGGCCACAAACGCAAATGAGGGGCGCAAAAAAAATTATGGAAGCTCCGCCGGATATGGGCGCGATTTCAAAAGCCACTACTGTTTGTGTCTCTGCAAAAAGGGGGCGGGGAAAGGGGGAAGTGGGAGGGGGGGAGGGGCAGTTGGAGGGTTAAGGGCACCCTTTGATTTATGGCATATTTGTTATAAGGTAAATACAAAGCGCAGTCACACAGCGAGTATCGCTTTTCGGTGGGACAGCAAGTGCCGCTTCTTTTTTCGGAATTAACTAGGAATTTCACATGGCCATAAACAACGTGAGGATTACACAAAGAAAAAATAGGTCTACCTATTGAATTATTAGAGGGGAACATTTGATTTGCAATGTAAATTGATTTGCAACTTTCATAAGAATTAAAAAAATTATTTAAGGTACAATAATATTATAGATATCATATTAAAAATATTAATAAGATCCTACCCACTTTTATTTCTAACAATCCCTAACTATTTTCCTGATTAAAGAACCCAACGAGGAGTTAACATAAGAGGGACGACAGCTCGTGACTTCTAGGAAAATTTGTCATTTTTCCTGGAAGCCGTTGCGGAATTCTTAAACGAGTTGAAGCCGAGGTCCATTCATTGCTGGCTTCTCTTTTTTTGTTTTGGTTTACCTGTGAAGCGATTTAAAAAATTAATGATGACAGGCGGCGAGGACGAAACTTCGGAACACGTGCCCCTCCGAATGTT